TTCCATCGAGCTCTGGCCATCCCGCCCTCGGTTCTCCGTCTGTCTCCGCTTGCCATCCAGCTGACTGACGGACGCTCGAAGACCAAACGTAGGCACTACAGACCAGAACCACAAGAGCGGAATTAGGCCGGTATTAGGGTAGAATGCGCCATGCCTAGACGATTAGAAGCACTGCATATAGACTGTAACTAAACCCTAAAATTCCACCTTCAGGCGAGAGACGCTCAGCCAGAAAGTCGCACAATGAGAGAAAACCGGCGTTTCTCAGTGATTCTATTAATTTGCTAGTCTGGTATGTGGCTGAGCACCTGAGTCCCGTGATGCAAGGAACGGTCCGTCTCCCAGTCGGGGTGCTCTGCTATTCTTCGAGAACCAAGGGGAAACCAAGTAAGTTTAATAACCCCTTTCATAATGGATGGGATGGCTTAATTCTCGATACGCGGCTTTTGTTTCTGTAATCCTCACTTATATTTTTCAACGGCTCTGTTAACATCGACTTTCCCGGCTAAGAAATTTTGTATATTCTTCAACGTAGTCTCTGCTATAGCGTCGATGGCTTCCTGCGTTAAGAAGGCTTGGTGCCCGGTAAGAATCACATTTGGTAGGCTAACCAGTCGCTTGAGGGTCGGATCATCGATCTCTTCCATTGAGGATTTCTGGAAGAGCAGGCTATTTTCCCTCTCGTACACGTCCAGTGCGCAGCCGCGAATTCGGCCATTTTCGAGTGAATCGAGGAGCGCTGGCGTATCTATTAAGCCTCCTCTGCTTGTATTGACTAAGATGACCTCCGGTTTCATCAGTTGCAGACTCTCTGGGTTTATGATATGCCTCGTTTGCTTGGTCAGGGGGCAATGGAGGCAAATGAAGTCGGATGAACGAAAAAGCGTGTCCTGGTCCACATAGTCCACTCCGATCTTTTCCAGTTCAAGATGTGCATCGAGATCATTTGCAATGACACGGCAACCGAATCCAAGTTTCAATGTTGTGGCTACCGCGGCCCCGATACGCCCCGTGCCGATTATGCCCACTGTTTTCCCGTATATATTACTTCCAACAAGGCCGTTCAGATCAAAATTGCCAGTCCGCACACGGGTTGAAGCCTTGTGGATATTGCGATTGAGAGTCAAGAGTATGCCAATGGTGTATTCCGCAATCGCGTAGGATGAGTAGGCTGGGACTCGCATGACAGTAATGTGGTTTTCTGATGCCGCCTGTAAATCCACGCTATCGTGGCCAGCACAGCGCAGAGCGACCAGTTTGATTCCTGCATCTGCCAATACTTCCAACACTTCAGCATCAACATGGTCACTGACAAACGTGGAGACGGCAACGCTGCCAGCTGCTAGCGAAACAGTCTCGGTTGAAAGGGGCGCCGAGAAGTAGACCAACTCATATTGAAACCTTTGGTTGAACCGCTCAAGGGCGGTCCTTTCATACTCTTGAAAGCTGAATACTGCGACTTTCATGTTGAATACCCACTGATACTGTGTTGATAGTTACGTAGTTTTTGTGTCTAAGCTCGAAACTGAACATCTCCATATGAATATTCAAGTACGTGGTGCTTAAGATTCTCAAAGATGTGGGCGACAATGAGTGAGTGATACATACATAAGATGTGGATGCGACAATCCTGGCAGATTTGCCACTTTGGACTCACCCATCTAAAACATACTCACACTAACATGAGCATATTAAGTTATTAGGGCAAAATGAAGGTAAGTGGCGGCGGCGTGCTCCCTTCATGCAATGCTAACTTTAAAATGCCAGTAGCTAACTACAACCCGGCATTAAGAGCATGTTTGGTTGCGTTTATTTGTTGTTTTTGCCATCAAGATATCCAGGCTTTCCTGGTTCCGTCTTTCCATGAGATCTACATATCTGTTGAAATGTTGGTGTCAAATCCAACTTATACCTTGGCTCGGAGCATGCTTCAAGAGACATGCCATGAGCCAGGGTACCGCATGCGATCTGCCGAATCACCTTGAGCTCTTCCATTCCCAAGTTAAATCTTTCTGTTTGACCATAACAGTATCTTATCTATCTGAATAATCTTTATGAGTTCCACTTGCATGAGAACTGCACAAACCATGTCCTACATGTGTAACTTACGAGAACGTATACTTCCTCTGGAGATCAGTTTCATGTTGTTATTTTAAGAAGACATTGCTCATTGATGGCTAGGAGTGTCGCGAGGTATCTCAACCTCCGGGTGATATCGGCCATACAGCGACATGCATATTCCTGCTACCGCCTTGATATTGTTCTCCATTGTTCAGGAAACAAATAACTAAGCAAATAACCATTTCTTACAATGTCTGAATTATATTCTTTGCTCTTCTCTTCCCGTTCCCGATGATATATGCAAATTATCGTGTTCTACCTACACGGTTTCGAATCAGAATTCCTAGACTGGGCTTCGCTTTATCAATGTTTCCGATGGTATCAAATTAATTCCACCATTTGCATCTTCGTTTCCTAGGGTGCTGGCAGGAATTCGTGTCATTGAATCTACCAAACATGGGACAACAATTGAAGGAGGAAAGAAACGATAACGATCAATACTACCCCCATTCTACATTGCTTGTTATCGTTGCGGTACATTCTCTGCATTCGTCTTCCAAAGGGTAAACGGTCATTTTGTTATACAATTTGGATAGGAAATACATGTATATAAAGATCTCCATGAGCGAGTTGGTTGAGTCTCGATCACGATCTCAATCAACAGAATAGGGGTTTTATAAACTACTACTCTCTACCCCTGTTGTCAAGAAGTTATCTGAGTGAGTGTTACATTAAAGTCCCGATGAAAGGGTTAGCAATGAATGTTAGCACTGATTTGAAACCAGCTACAAATACGAAGTATACAATAATTCATCACTACTTCTTCGATTCGGCCTCGAAAATGAAGCTTCTGTGGATCATCGTTGCTCTGTTTCTTAGTAGCGTGCCAACCATCGCCTTCCCAACTCGCTGGGGATTAGGTCGCCATCGACACATGCATCCCGTTTCTCGAAAGAGTATGTGTGTGCAGAAAATGTGCATCACGGATATTGACTGTCAATCGGGCTGTTTTTGCGATTTGTTTGCTCAGGTCTGCGAACTATCTTCTCCTGCTTCATAATCAGTTCTCCCGAAATCAGCGGTAAGCAGCATGATTAATTGGCTTGACCTGATTTCCTCTCACTAATTGAATGGTAGGAGAAAATTTTTCTTGGACGGTTTTTGGAAATTGTGAAATGAAGTACCATAGGAAAATTGTTGGAAGATCGGAATATCTAGGAGGCTCCGCGCTTGTTTTTCTATGGTCCACAATCGAAGGGGTGAATATTCGGATAATCTCAAACTCAGTCAATCAGATAGATGGTAAGACATGTTTTATAATTTGATTTACATTTTTATTTTTTCTTACGACCCTTGATTCGTAAAGGAAGATACGCCAACGAAAACCTGGATGGCTCATTCTATTAGCTCGAACAGCGCAAACCACTAACTTACTGGTTACTTAACAACCGCTCAAAATTGATAAGGAATGACGTAGAGAATCACAATTGAAATGTGTTACACTCTCAGGAGATCATAAATTCATTGTAAGCATATACACTAGAGCAGCCTTTACAAGCACACCCGTGACTATTAGTAAAAAAGGAGTGCTGAAGGAAAAATAGCGGAAAACAAATTTCTTACTTAAAGTAAAGTGGATATAAAACAAGAGACATAAAATGTCTAAAACAGTAACCTATGAAAAGCGGCATGAATGTGAGAAACAGAGTAAAACCTCTTAGGCTTACATACGTGACATGAAATATGTAGCCACAAAATGAAATAAAACATTTCTGAACATATATTTTTCTTCTCTGTTTTCCTCCCTTTTTGATTTCATTTGCTTTCTAATTTTGAGATCCAACAGAAAGGTACATGACGAACATTTCGAGGCATTGGAACTGAAGCATGACGCCGATTCCTATCACGCAGTCCATGGATGGACCCGGGACATCTTTCTATTTCAGTTACCATTAATATAAACTTTTGTAGGCCTTTCTATAGATCTTCGGCGGTAGCGACGGCTTCTCGAGACAGGGTTCTCCCTGTAGGTGTACGGGGAAATGGATTCTCGTCTGACCGGGCGTTCGTATCTGGTTGAGCGATAGGAATAGGTGTTTGTGTCCCCTGATTGCTCGGTCCAAATCAACCACCACAGAAGAAACGATCCCAAAATAGAACCCAGGACGATGCCAGCTATTTCGCCTCCCGAAAGGCAGTCGCCTGCCCCCTCGCTGGCGGCTCCATTTTGTCGGGCTTTCAGGATAGTGGTGGATACTTCGATGGGGAGTTTCTGAATGATGCTATCAGCACTTTTCCAGACATGAGGTATCGATGATTAAGGGATAGAGTCCAGTTAACTGGAGTTAAAGTTGAAGCAAACTTTGGGAACAGCGCGGGAGCGTACCATTGTAACTTGATCCCCGGTTTGGTACTGACAACCCGCGAGAATATAATTCCAATTCAAAATATCGAACTGGATCTAGGTGAAGCCTCGCCAAATCTCAATGATAGAAAAATGGATGAGTATATCAATTTACAAATGGTTTTGCACTCATATGCAGGATTTCCTCTACATTTGTATTCTACCCAAATGGACAGCGCCAGCAAAGGGAAATCCGGCATGGCTCTTGGAGTGGGGAGAAATATCCATGATTTCCTCAAGAAGTTGACGTCAGGCGGGGGGGAAGTGGGAAATACAATTCCCTGGCTAGCGCGACTCCTTGATAACGGGCTTCAGCTAACTCGTCGCCAAACCTCAATTTTGCCGTTGAGCGAGTGGTGACGGCTAGGCTAAGGAAGGGAGGGCAAATGACGTCAGGGTTGATTATTATTATTATTATTATTATTCTTCAATTATAGATGTATGCAGTCAGAGTCTATGACATCTATCTGAAAACTTTTAGTTCTCAGGGTTTTTCTAATATCTATAAAGTCAACTATTATACATTTATCAATTTCAGATATATAAAATTAGAAAATTTCAGCTCAGAATATAAAAGCTCTTTATAAATTACAGTATTTTAACATCTTCTAATACTTTGAAATCATTAAAAATATCATGATAAAAGAAAAGAGAACAGAGTCTTAAAGAGAGATATATTAAATAAGTAGATAGAAAAGAATAGAAAAGAAAAGAAAAAGTACAGTAAAGAGAGACTATAATAAAATAAAAATATTAAAAGATAGTATATAACTATTTTAACAGACTATACCTGATCAATTTTCATCTCTTTATATTCAGATATTTCTTAATTCAGTTATTTTCTTATAACTGCTTGAGTTTCTGACAGAAAGTTAATTAAGTATTTAATTTCTATCTCAGTTGAGAATAAGAATCTTATATTTAATTAATTTAAATTATACTTCTCTTTTAATCTAACTCTGAGACTATTATATAGTATACAATATATTATAATATACTTACAATTTTCATTTATATTGTAGAATAAGTATTCTGCAGAATTAAATCTATTGTTAAATCTTTATATATAAGATTTAAAATAATTATATTCTAGTTTCAGCTGAATTATAAATGAGAATATTTTCTTTTTATATTTAATTGAATAAGATTTTCACTTGAGTTTTATTTTAAATCTTAAATAATATATACTCTTCTTTTATTTCTGTCAGTTTTTATTATACTTATTTAAAAAAGATTCTTTTATCTTTCTCTTTATAAAAGATTAGAATACTGTTTTTTGAATAGATGTACTTAATTCTGAACTATTTTTTACAGCTGAATCAGTCAATTCATTATTATGAATATTTATATAAGTAGAAACTTAGTATAGATAAATTATCAGTTTTAATATTCTTCTCTTTTGAATTTTTAAAACACAATTTAAAATCAGTTCAGAATTTATTTAATTATTATAAATCTGACTATTTCTAAGTCTTTTTAAAGCAGTTGAACTATTACAGAATATTTATATCTCTTTCAAACTATTTTCTCTTTTATAAGATTTTATTTTAATAAGTGTGAAAGTGTTCACTATTATAAATAGTTGAGTATTAAAGACTTTAGATTCACAGTTTAAATTTTAGAAATCTGAGATAAAATTAATATTATCTTTAATATAAGTAATATCTGTATCTAATCTATTTAAATTCTCATTTTTTAAGTTATCTGAATAAATCAGAATAGAGTCTTTTATATTAAGAATAGAGATCTTCTTTAAATACTGTTCATATTCTCTCTCTTGAGATAGTTCACTTATTTATAAGTGTCTAAAAAATTTAAGCTTTTCTCTTCAGAGAGATATCTTCTTATATTTAACTTTCTCAATATTTAATAAAGAAAATTGATTTTTAATCAGTGAATATAGTCTATATAGTTGAGAGAGTATTTTCTTTGAGACATTATTTACATTTTAATTAAGAAATCTATTTTAATTCAGTTCATGTTCTAAGTTAATTAATGAAAATGAAGAAGAGACTCTTTCTCTGATTATGTAATTTAAGCTTATCTCTATAACTCTTAGAGTATAATTTATACAGATCTTTTCAAATCTAATAATAGAAGAAGAAATTAAAGCTTTAATTTTCATTATTTTAATAGAAGATGATTTAAATACTTTCAGAATTCTTTTCAAAGCTCTATTTTATAAACATTGAAAAGATATAGTGAAATTTTCTTGATTATTTTATTAA